ATCTTTTGATATTATGTACTGTAAATGATAATATATTTCCAATTTTGTAATTTTACGTTGAAATTTTTGGACAAATATGTGATGCAGCTTTTCAACGATTGGTGAACCTTTGCTTTTCTTTTCTTGTTTTTATACCCACTCATGTTTCTGAACTGTTGCCAGTTAACCTAATTGGTTGGAAAATGTTCTTCCAGCTCTTCCTTGTTAGTACCACTTATTTTGCCAGCTTTTTGTTGCCAAGTCTCAACTTTTGAGACATGTTGCTGCCATCAGTTTCAAAATTACCCTATTTTTTAATAAAATGGTCCTTTTTCTAAGTGTAACCTCCCTGGCGGTATTCCCGAATGTAGCTCGGGGTTAACTTTCAGTACCAAAAGCAGTAACCCTGAGCTACACTCGGGATTACCTTGCAGCGTTGCTCTGGGATTCCCTCTTGTACTTACCTTGTCCTTTGCTCCCGCGATGTGTCCCCAGCCATCTTCTCCCGGCCGATGCTGGCATCCGTCTTCCGGGTTCCGATCCCTGCGAGCGTCGGGACGCTGGCGGGAAATTTAAAAATGTTTAAAAGTGACATTCACTAAATACACTACAATCACATAGTAAAACATTACTGTATCAAAGCATTTCACATATTTTGTCCCTACTGTTTTATCCTGTGCTCTGCCTGCATTTTTACTGTTCTTTCCGCCTTGAAACTGAGAAAAGTCCATAGCGTCAAAAAAGTGTCCCCTTATGTCAAAAACGGTTTTAGACCAGCTAGAAAACAGCGATAGTAAATCAGAACCACTTGCAGAATTGAGTGATAATGCTTCGTGGGGAAATTCGTCATCACTGAAAACGATTTTGCGACTAAGCTCAGTGATGTGCGAACTTGGCGCTCTATTTAAAATTTCAGTATTTTTGGTTTGATTATATTATTCAATTAAATGTATTATTATTTTTTATGATTATTATATTATAATTTATGATTTCGTGTTTCACATTTTATCATACCCGAGATTTTTACTAAACTCTTGTTCGGACAGATTTCAGTGAGTTATTTCTAAAAATTACAGGCCTACAATAAAAAGACATATTTCCATGCAAAAAAATGTACCGCTTTGAGCACAGAAATATTTACATAATCATACCGCTAGGGAGGTTAAACATTTGACATGTTTGCTGTTGTGAATAAAACGTTTATGAGATTTGCCAATCAGTTTTCTGTAGACTTTACACCGTGTCTCAACTTTTTTGGAATTGGGTTGTGTATTAAAAAAAAAACACCTAGGGCAAAAGGGGGGGGGGGGGGGGGGATGGATGAGGGACTAAAATTGAAAAAGTGAAGTTCCTCTTTTAGATATAGTACAGAGGTAGCTGATCTTTATGTAGACATTAGGGTCCCTGATGCCTCTGGTCCATACTGATTGGGTAGAAAGTCTTTGACTTCACAGTGCTCCTTATTTACAGGTGAAACTCGAAAAATTAGAATATCGTGCAAAAGTTCATTTATTTCAGTAATGCAACTTAAAAGGTGAAACTAATATATGAGATAGACTCATTACATGCAAAGCAAGATAGTTCAAGCCGTGATTTGTCATAATTGTGATGATTATGGCTTACAGCTCATGAAAACCCCAAATCCACAATCTCAGAAAATTAGAATATTACATGCAATCAATAAAACAAGGATTGTACATAGAACAATATTGGACCTCTGAAAAGTATAAGCATGCATATGTACTCAGTACTTGGTTTGGGCCCCTTTTGCAGCAATTACTGCCTCAATGCGGCGTGGCATTGAAGCTATCAGCCTGTGGCACTGCTGAGGTGTTATGTAAGACCAGGATGCTTCAATAGCGGCCTTCAGCTCCTCTGCATTGTTCAGTCTCATGTCTCTCATCTTTCTCTTGACAATGCCCCATAGAATCTCTATGGTGTTCAGGTCAGGCGAGTTTGCTGGCCAATCAAGCACAGTAATCCCACGGTCATTGAACCAGGTTTTGGTGCTTTTGGCAGTGTGGGCAGGTGGCAAGTCCTGCTGGAAAATGAAATCAGCATCCCCATAAAGCTCGTCTGCGAAAGGAAGCATGAAGTGCTCCAAAATCTCCTGGTAGACGGCTGCGTTGACCCTGGACTTAATGAAGCACAGTGGACCAACACCAGCAGATAACATGGCTCCCCAAATCAATACAGAATGTTGAAACTTCACACTGGACTTCAAGCATCTTGCAGTGTGTGCCTCTCCATACTTCCTCCATATGCTGGGTCCTTGGTTTCCAAATGAGATGCAAAAGTTGCTCTCATCAGAAAAGAGGACTTTGGACCACTGAGCAACAGACCAGGTCTGTTTTTCTTTAGCTCAGGTAAGACGCTTCTGACATTGTTTGTTGTTCAGGAGCGGCTTGACAAGAGGAATATGACATTTGAAGCCCATGTTCAGGATCCGTCTGTGTGTGGTGGCTCTTGATGCACTGACTCCAGCCTCAGTCCACTCCTTGTGAAAGTCCCCAACACTTTTAAATGGCCTTTTCCTGACAATCCTCTCCAGGCTGCGGTCATCCCTGCTGCTTGTGCACCTTTTTCTTCCACACTTTTCCCTTCCACATAATTTTCTATTAATGTGCTTTGATACAGCACTTTGGGAACATCCAACTTCTTTTGCAATTACCTTTTGAGGCTTTCCCTCCTTATGGAGGGTGTCAATGATGGTTTTCTGCACAACTGTCAGGTCAGCAGTCTTTCCCATGATTGTGATTCCTACTGAACCAGACTGAGAGACCATTTAAAGGCTCAGGAACCCTTTGCGGGTGTTATGGCTTAATTAGCTGATTAGAGTGGGACACTTTGAGCCTAGAATATTGCACCTTTTCACAATATTCTAATTTTCTGAGATTGTGGATTTGGGGTTTTCATGAGCTGTAAGCCATAATCCTCACAATTATGACAAATCACGGCTTGAACTATCTTGCTTTGCATGTAATGAGTCTATCTCATATATTAGTTTCACCTTTTAAGTTGCATTACTGAAATAAATGAACTTTTGCACGATATTCTACTTTTTCAAGTTTCAGCTGTACTATGAACCCCGGAGTGCTAATAGCTGAGTACATTAGGCTTTGCGGCCTTCCTTGTCAAAGGTGTGTCTGTGAGCAGATATCTGGCACAGCCATTTCGTTTGTTCTTGTAAGCTCAGTAGATTGTTTTAAAAAAGAGTTGAATGCATTCCTAAATGTACAAAATATAGCTGAATACTAACATTTATAGGTATTACACAAGGGATAGTTAATTCAGGGAATATCCAAATGCCTCCTGGGGACTAGGAAGGAATTGGATCTTGCTTTACTGGGTTTTTTTTTTTGCCTTTTAATCTGGATCACCATTCTCTGTCCTGAATTGTCCTGCACATATTTGCCCCAATGTAGAAGGGATTAGCTTTATCTGCCCAGATCACATCTACTATACAGAGGAAAGCTAGCCAATTCACTTTGCAGCCCTATTTCTGTCCTGAAAATGCTAGTTGCCTTCCTTGTATCAATGGTTTCTAAATGAATGATAAGCAGCAAGCTTGACAAAAAAAATCATGAATCCAATTTTGCTTCTTTGCAGTATGGCAACCTGAAGAAGTTCTGTACAATGTATGATTTATTCTTGTGTTACTGGCTTACTGCTTTTCCCAGAAGTCTACGCTGAGATATAAACCAGATTACAATAGGGATTTCATTTTGGGCAAGATACTTTTAAAGGGATGGAAACATTGCATTTTCTTTTACTACAATGCTAACATTGAGTTATTGATGAAGGGTGATTTTACCATTTGAAAATCAATGTGAGAAACATGACATCTTTGCACCCTCCAGTCTCTTACCTTTCCAGCTCCTGTCCACTTTTCCAATAAAGTGATTGTAAATGATCACCTCATAAAACAAACCAGTTTAAAATAGAAATGAAAGGCAAAACATTTGTGGATAGATATACATTTTTTCTTTTCTTTATAAATCGCTTTTTTTTCCCTCTTTTTTTATATGTGATCACATTCCCTTTGTTCTCAGCTGCATAACAGCTAGGGGAGGAGAAGCGGCACTGATCTTCCCACATAGCTAGAGAACTGACCACACTGCTCTCCTGCTTAGTGTGGTCTGGTTTTAATATGAAAATATCGGGACTGGCAGGAACACCAGCAATTTCATACAAAGGAAGCAATACAGGGAAAAGGATATTTTTTCATACATGTACATGGCACAGCAGACACATATCAGGAATATTACATGTTGGGTTTTATGCTGTTTAACACTGCAGTCTCCAAATACTCTGAGCAAGTACTGACTATCTTTTTCTATTGCTCTCTTTCTTGGCAAACTCTTGGTATTCTGTCAACCACCATATGACTACATTAAGGCTGGCTGACAAAAGGAAAAAAAAGGAAACTGGGTGATTTAGGGTGCCTCATTGGCAGTGTAAAATCTTCATTTATTCAAAACAACATAAAATTATCAAAGAGTAAAAAGGCAAAATTCATTATACACCATACAACAGGAAAACATTCTTTTCACATGTTTGTGTCCAATTGTCACATATTACATGGTCATATGACATAGTCAATATGTTTCGCGGTCACACGCTGCTACTTCAGGACTGTGTATTAGTATAAGATGTATTTCTTGTAAATTCATGTTAATTTTTTGTTAATTGCACTGTAGTGCCTTTCGCAAAACGCACTAAAAAAACACATTGGTGTGAACCAAAGGTTAGGGCTCTTAGTGCAGTGTGAATTATTATATGGTGTAAACAATCCTATACTTTGCAAATGATGAACATATGGGTAAGGCAGAAATTAGGCCAGAGCAGGACGATTTGGAGAATATTTGTGGTTGAAATGTGATATTTAGTAAATGTTTGAGATGTGAAATATTTTGGAGGCAGAGTATTAATAACAGGAATACCCAGTGTAACGACTTCTACACATATATTCTTATAGAGCCATGTTATTTATCTTCTTCTTTTTTTTTTTTAATATACAGTTTAGGAGCTTCTATTCAGTCCTCACCATCTAAAGAATCTTGTAAAGAAAGCCAGGTAAGATATGTACCCATTATTGCTGCATTGCTTACACTAGTAGATTTACAAATGAACTTTCATACAAACATTCGTATACCAATTCTCAGTAGAATCGACACATTAAAGAACGTTATTTAAAAGTACTTCAACATTTATTTGCTTTTAATATTGTATTTTGGAATGAGTGGACTATACTGAATAAAAACCACATACACTATTAACAAAAAATTTCCATCTTGCTCTTTTGAATTTTCACATCACTGTGGTTGAAAAGAAATGTCAATTTGACTCCATCAATGGATAGAATATTGAATAAACTTTCTGAAAATGAGAAATTTCTAACAAAATTCTACTAGTGTATAGCTAAAGCTGGCCACAGATGATTATTTATTATTTTTTTTTCAGCCAGCAGGAATCCTTCCGGCTGAGCTTTTGTATTCTGACAGCGGAAACCTTCCCCATCATCAGCTGGTGGCACTGATCATTCAGGCTGGTTGTACACAAATTGATTGATATATTGACTTGTGTACAACCAGCCTGCCCATACATGGATTGAAAGTTGGCCAGTCCCTGCTGCAGCGGACAAATTTCAATCCATGTATGAAGGATTTAGTCTTGTGTTTTTCACATTAGCAGGCTTTGCAGGTTTGCAACTTGTTGGTCTTATTAAGGCCCGGGGGCCCTGCAGATCTGAGGCTAGTGGAAGAGGAGGAATTTGATGTTAAATCTCTTTCATGTCTTCATATGTTCCTATACCCTTGAAATGCCCGTGGACGCAACACTGCTAATCCCCCCTCTCTCGCTAGTCTCTTACTATACCGCTTTTAATGTAAGGTAGTTCTTCCTGATCTGATCCCATGGCAGGCTGACTTGTTAGGCAAATTAAAGGGAAGTCTCCCTAGATATCCTCTATACAGCTATGGAGAAGCACAGTCAATGTGAGAGAGAGAGTTGTAGCCCTCACTGTGAAGTGATGGCCTAATGGTCACCAATGTTTTGAATCCAGTATGGACACAAATGCCTTCAGAAGGTCCTAAACGTTTGTGGTAAGGCACAGAATATATTGAATGTCTTATTCTTGCTTTTACAAAATGAACTTTAAGGTATAGAGTTGCTTGTTGTCAGGCTCCGCCCAACGGGATCTCTAGTGGTCCACAGCACGGGGTTTCCCAGGACGCGGAGTCTAAGTCCCAGTCTGCCTCTTCACCAGGGCCCCTGATGGTGGGATGGACTTGGTGCAAGACTGAGACCAGGTCGCGCCCCTGGGCACTCCCGGCGGTGGTAGAGGGGTCCCGCTGGGGGTATGTGCCCGGGATGAGCCTGCTGCGAAGGGGACGACAGGTCCGATCCGAGCGGATGGATGGGATGGCAGATTCCGATCCGAGCGGGATGGACGGGTGCCAGATCCCGATCCGAGCGGGATGGATGGGTGACAGCTAGGAGCGAGCAAGGTCAGACTAGCCGGGTCGGTATCGTGCGGGCAGCGTGGTACAGGGGGAGTAAGCGGAGAATGGTCGGGGTCACAAGCCAGGATCAGCAGGTAGCGGGCAGCGCGGTAAGAGGGTCAGGCAGGAGGATGGTCAGGGACGAGCCGGGGTCAGAGCAGGAGAGGGTCAGCATAAGTCAGAACAGGCAGAGTTTGGCAACTAGGAAGCGTACTTACAGAATCAGGAACAAGACCTTGCGGCAACCTGGAGATGCACAGGACAGCTTTAAATAGAGCGCCCTGCTCTCCCATTGGTGCGGCCGCGATCGCTACTGCGCATGCGCGGCCGCCGCCGCGATCGTCGGCCGGGACAGATCGGCCGTCTGCGCATGCGCGCACCGCCGAGGACCCGGAATCCCTGACATTGCCCCCCCCCTACGGGCAACCTCCGGATGCCCAACCGACCCCTACCGAACGGCTGGTTCTGAAAAAATTCCCGCACAAGTCTTGGGGCGTGCACATTTTGGGCCGGCTCCCATGAATTTTCCTCCGCCCCATATCCTTTCCATTTAACCAGAAACTGAGTTCGTCCTCCCCTCTTCCCTACAATCTAAGATAGCTTCAACTTCAAACTCCTCCTCCCCATCCACGTCTACTGCCTCCGGTGGTTTGGACCTTCGATCCGGGAAGGGATCTGGAGTTGCTGGTTTCAACAGGGACACGTGGAAGACCGGATGAACCTTCATAGACTCGGGCAGTGCAAGCTCGTATGCCACCTCGTTGATCTTACGTTTCACACACGAAAGGGCCCCAAGAATTTGGGAGCCAGTTTCTTCGAAGGGCAGGGCATTTTCAAATTTGCGGTGGACAACCAAACCTGGTCCTCTGGCTGCAAACTCAATTCCCCCCTTCTCTTCTTATCAAATGCCCTCTTATTGTCACCCTGGGCCTTTGCCATTGCTTCCTGCAATACCTTACTATTGGTTGACAAAAAGTTCAACATATCCTGCGTGGCCGGGACTGCGACCTCCGGGATCAGATCTGGCAGGAATACAGGGTGGAACCCGTAGTTTGCGAAAAACGGGGACTGTCCAGTAGCCGAGTGACTCGCATTGTTATATGCGAATTCCGCAAGTGGCAGGAGAGTAAACCAGTCATCTTGGAGGAAGGTGGTATAGCACCTGAGGTACTGTTCTAGGGTCTGTTTTTGTACGCTCCGTCTGGCCATTGGTCTGTGGGTGGTAAGCAGAGGAGAATGACAGCTTAATTCCCAGGGTATCACATAAAGCTTTCCAGAACCTGGATGTAAACTGAACCCCTCTGTCAGATACAATATCCCTGGGAATTCCGTGGAGTCTTACCACTTCTTTAATAAACACACGTGCTGTCTCAAGGGGCCGTAGGTGTGTCCTTTAGAGGTACAAAATGGGCCATCTTGGACAGGCGGTCTACAATCACGAAGATTGCTGTGTGGTCCTGAGAGGGTGGAAGTTCCACAATAAAGTCAATGGAAATCATTGTCCATGGTCTGTCGGGTATTGGTAATGGACGCAAGAGACCCCAAGCCTTATTCCTAGTAGGCTTGTTCCTCTGACAAACAGGACAGGTTTTTACGTAAGTTTCGCACTCTCTGGCCATATTAGGCCACCAGAAGGTACGCTGTAACAGCTCCAAGGTCTTACGTACCCCAAAGTGCCCGGCCAGTGGGTGATCATGGCAGTATCCCAATACCAATGTACGGGCTCCTCAGGGACCACAATCTGATCCTCCTTCCAGAGGAGTCCCTCCCTATTTAGTAAGGGGACACCGGGTGGGCCTTGCATACCTACGGATGCGGCCTGCAATTGAGAATGAAGCTCTGATTGGAGAGCTAGGAAATTCCCTGGGGTCAAGATGGTGTCCGGCTTGGGACTCTCTTCGGGGTCCCCAAACATGCGGGAGAGCGCATCAGGTTTCGTATTCTTAGACCCTGGCCTATAAGTTATATGGAAAAAGAACCGTGAAAAGAACAGTGCCCACCTGGCCTGACGTGGCCTCAGACGTTTAGCTGTTCTCAAATACTCTAGGTTCTTGTGATCCGTGAAAATCAATATCGGGTGTACCGCCCCCTCTAACAGGCTTGTTCCTCTGTACCGCCCCCTCTAACAGGCTTGTTCCTCTGACAAACAGGACAGGTTTTTACGTAAGTTTCGCACTCTCTGGCCATATTAGGCCACCAGAAGGTACGCTGTAACAGCTCCAAGGTCTTACGTACCCCAAAGTGCCCGGCCAGTGGGTGATCATGGCAGTATCCCAATACCAATGTACGGGCTTCCTCAGGGACCGTATGGTATCTCCATTCCTCTAGTGCCACCTTGATCGCCAAGAGTTCCCGATCCCCAATATCGTAATTCCTTTCAGCAGGAGTTCCTGGAGAAGAAAGCCACCGGGTGCACAAGCTCTTTGATGCCCTTCCTCTGGGACAGGATCGCCCCGACTGCATTCTCGGATGCGTCTACCTCCAAGATATATGGCAAGGACGAATCAGGGTGGCTCAAAATAGGAGCTGCCGTAAACAACTCTTTTAAAGCTTCGACAGCCCTCTGTGCCTCAGGCGTCCACTGGAAGCGGACCCCCTGCCTGGTCAGCTGGGTGATAGGGGATACTAGGCCCGAAAAGTTCTTAATGAACTTTCTATAAAAGTTCGCGAAGCCAATAAAGCGTTGGACCGCTTTCTTATCGGTGGGGGCTGGCCAGTCTAAGATGGCCAAAACCTTTTGGGGATCCATGGCTATTCCCCGTGGGCGAGATGGTTAGGCCCAGAAATGAAATACTCCTCTGTTCAAAACAGCACTTGTCTGCCTTGGCATACAAGCTGTGTTGGCGGAGCCGTTCTAACACGCGCTTCACATGACCCCTATGGTCCTCCAAGGTTGGGGAAAAGATAAGGATATCGTCTAGGTACACAATGACGAAGACATCCAGATAGTCCCTGAACACATCGTTTATGAAATGCTGGAAGGTGGCTGGAGTGTTTACATAGGCCGAAGGGCATAACCAAATATTCATAGTGTCCGAATCTGGTACGGAATGCTGTCTTCCACTCGTCCCCCTCTCTGATACGGACTAAATTATAGGCACCTCTCAAGTCTAATTTAGTGAAGACAGATGCTGACTTCAACCTCTGAAAAAGTTCGGGGACTAGTGGTAGCGGGTAACGGTTCTTCACCGTGACTTTATTCAAGTCCCGGTAATCTACGCAGGGCCGGAGGGACTTGTCCCTTTTTTCCACAAAGAAAATGCCCGCCCCAGCTGGCGACGTGGGGAGGGTCTAATAAACCCCTTATGGAGGTTTTCATCGATATATTCTCTCAGTACCCCTAACTCCCCTGCTCGGATAAGGGGAATATCCGCCCAAATGGAATCTCCGAACCTGGGAGGAGATCAATTGGGCAGTCATAACCTCGGTGCGGGGGAGAGTGTCCGCCCCCCGCTTGCTAAACACATCCAAAAAATTATGGTAGGCCGAAGGAATGACTTGCGCCAGTTCCACATCTGTCTCTAGACACAACAAGGTCTCCGGAATCGGGGAGGTCTTAGGGAGGCAATGCTG